TGAGCCGAGGGTCTCCTGGAAACAGGCTCTCCACCCTTCGGGGTAGGGGTAAGGTCTGCGTACATATTACCCTCCCCAGACCCCACTTGTGGGATTATACTGGGTCGTTGTTGTTGTTGTTGAATTCCTGCTACCTCCCACTAAAACAGGTAGCAGGTAAGTCTGTCCACCAAGGCTTAGACAGATCGAAAAAAATCACCTAGCGTTTTTGTCTCTACTAGGATTTCAACCCTGGTCTATCATGGTTTTCACCCACTTCATTGACACTAGACCACACCCTTGGGTGCATCCATTAACATTTCTTTAAGCTCAAGAAAGAGAATATCAGCAGCCTGCCTCAGAAAGTGGAAGTGTGCCATTGCTCAAGTTACACAAAATTCAGTTTCTACGAGAAAGGTGATCAGACACACTTATCCAGATGGCAGGAAGCCAAAAAGAGGACAAGTCTGACGGCTCAAACAAAGAAATTGGTGTCAAATGACCATCATCTGAAGTAGTTATAATATCATAAGGAAGCACTGCTGCTGTTTCTTCAAGAAATGAAAAATATGTTGCACGAGGAAATAAAAAGGGGCAATGTTGGTGTTACTTACTTCAATGTTTAAGAGGGCATTCAGACCATCTGCTATAGATCCCAACAAGCATTCATCCTGAGCACAAGAAGCCATTCATGACATAAGCAATGTGTAGAATTAGTTCCAAATATAACATGATACGACTTAGAAGAAAACCTATGAAGAATATATTATAAGTGTGGTCGCATGCGCGGAAGCTGTATATCTTCAGCAATACATAAAGCGCTTAAGGAAAAAGGAGTAAGTTTGACAAATAAATCGCATTCATAGCAATAATTAATTAATCTAAGTTCTTTGAGTTGTCCAGAGAGTTAATTTGACGGTTTAGATCAAGTTCAGAGAGTTCGATTCATGAAGAAATTATCACAATGTTGTTAACTTGCAGTTGTAATAGACTATCCAACTTTTTAGAGTTTGTTCAGACAGAGGATTTTGTAAAGAAAGGATCACATTGTTGTTTCAACTTGAATTAATTAATGGATTTAAATTCTTGGAAGTTGTTCACATAATGATTAGAACATTATCGCTCAAAGAAGTGATAGGAAGAGTACATGAAATCAATCCCATACCAGTGAGCATGGCGTTCCACAGATGAGAAACCTCATGTTCACATCATCATCATAGATCTTTATGGCAGGAAGAGTATCGGAGTTGCTTTCTTCATCATCTTCAGGACCTGCCTCAGGCGGAGGGACATTGATTTTGGGAGGATCACCAAGCAGGTGAGGACCCAGCTTACCACTGGCCATCTGGCTCATCTCAGGGAAAAGGAGGTTGTTTCGGACACAGTAAAGCCTGAAGGATGCATGTGCAAGTTGGAAAGCATCCCAAACATGACAAGTTGAACTGCAGGACACAACCAGAAGACCTCTTGAATCAAATCCTTAACCCTCAAGCCATACAGATGCAAAATTAAATCATGAATAAATTCATCACAGTTAGCTCTCTGAGCAATGCAATGTGGAAAAGAATTCAATTGCATGGTCAGCGGACCCAAAAGTAGCTACTCCCTCCACCCCATTTTATGTGACGGTGTTTAACGGGCCACAGAATCTAAGAAAGAACGAAAGTCTTTTGAAACTTATGGTACAAAACAAGTCATAAACATTTGTGTGACTTTAATTCATCTTATTAAGGGTAAAATTGAAAATTAAAGTTAAAATATTTCTAAAAAAAGGAAAGTGTGCCACATAAAATGGGACAGAGGAAAATAAACATGGGGTGCACCAGTTGAAGCTTGCCAAAGAAAGTCTTATTACTTAATAAAAAACATAAAATGGGACAGACAGAGTAGAATTTATTTGAATGATGTAAGACTCCAAAGAAGGCAAAAGAGACCTTGCGACATTCAAGTAAAATAGAAGGTCAAGAATGTCAGAAGAATCAATATGAAAAGCTCTGTGAAGTCTGACACTAAGCCACCATCAACCTAGACATGAGTGCAGTGTAGATCTTGGACAAATGTAGCAGACTTGGAAAGGATTAAAATGGAAAATTTGACAATGATAAGAGCAGCAGCAAGAAATAGCTTAATGGGAATGTACAAATCTAGATAGTTCTGTAAAAGGGTCGCATGGCCGTGTTATTATCTTTATTCTCTAGCACAGAGAACTAGGCACCAAGAACTATGAATATATGAGCAGTCCAGAATAATGAATCAAATAACTGTACAGCTTGAGTCAACGGTAAGAATACCTCTGTGCCACACATAAGAATGCCTGCCGAAAATGGGATGCTGCATAGCAGGAAAATGCGCTCTTCCAGTACAACACATACGGAACACCCTACAAATATGAACATATTGGTGGAACCAAAAGAACCATCCATAAAGTTTAAATCAGGAGAATCGACCAGATCATCAGCTGATTGAACGAATCAAGGTAATGTCTCACCTTAGCATGAAGAGCTTCAGCCAGTTTTTCTCCATTTGGGAGCTCCAAGTAGACCTGCAATTGGATCATCAAGTAAACAACAGAAGAACTCATATTAACATGATTTCCTGTCCAAATACTACAAGTGTAATTCAACCATTGGAACATTTCAAAATAATTGACTCTTCAGCAGAAAACACATTAACTTAACCACTAAAAGGTGACTTGGTTGGCTTTTATTTCTAAGCCATTTTTGAATTAAGTGTACTACTAATTATTAGATATTTCAATAAGCCATATTCACCTTGAATTCTTTTTCTTTTTTGTTGGTGGATAATTACCTTAAATTCCATCTTTCTACGACGATAGCAGCTGTATCATTTACATCACCGGTTAGAGGAACAAACACCAATGTGAGCACAAGACACAAACCAACATATTAATGCACAAACAACCATAATCGCATGATCAACTGCTAGACTGAGAACATCACCGCAAAAACAACCTTCATTGAAGTAATGCTAAATTATCATTATCCAACCTTCATTGGCTACTGATGTGTTATATCTACATCAGCGTAATTGAGGAAACGCGGGTGAACGGTGTTTAATACATGTGTTCTGATCAACTTAAGGTGTTTAGCAGGGAAATCGCCAAGTTAGGGACCGGCTTTACAAAACCATGCATGTGGAGGTGTCCATTTGTGAATTATTTTCTTGACAAAATTATCCAAGACATATTAAAATCCAACAACTTGGTAATGACTGACAAAATGACAGGAAATACATACCAAAGCAGAAGTACATGAACTGTTCAATGCAATTCATAAAATTCCAGAGAACATCTGACCAAGGGAGACACAAGAAGATACACTACTAGCACAAACTCTCCTGAACAGAACTAAGGAAGGAAAGTCACATACAGCGGTTGGAAGCGTGGCACTAAAAAGTCCAGAAATGGCTTCCACAGAAGACAAATCAACACCTCCCCAAACAGGCGAACCAACTTCATCATCCGAAAGACGTTCTCCTTGCAAATACACAATATTTGGCTGCCACGAATCTAAAACTTTACGAAATTCATCCGTACTGGGGTTTTTCAAAAGTTGCACCTACATTTAGCAAATTATAAGTGACGTAAGAAACCAGCTCACTAGCCAGGACGATGACGAACCTCCTAATGAGAGGTATCAACCAAAAACATGATAAATTATATACAAACAATTTAAGAACGATACTTACCTCCAAACGCCCTGATGATACAATCTCCGGGAAGCAATATCTCGGCGTACCATCTTTTACATCTGACTTCTGATCATATTCAGCAGCTTTTCCACATACTACTGCAAGAAGACTGCAACTTTGTCTAGAAGCTCCTTGATTATGAAACATCACTTTAACCTGGCTCTCCTTTTCTAAAACTATAGATTCACACCTTCAAAGAGTATCACACTACAGCAGCCAAAACCCACTCCACCATAATCTTTACCCTCAATCTAAACCCTTTAGCAAACCCTGCCCAGAAACCAAAAAACTAAAGCCTTATTATACATGTAGAAAACAATTTTCAAAAAACATAGAAGAGCAAAAGCACCAAACTTGTAATACATGCATAGATCAAAACAAGCTAGCAAGAAACTGTAACATTCTAATCTCAAAAATAACCATAACCCACTTCAAAATTCAAGCTTTTGATCTGAATAACAACCTAATTCATAAAAATTACCCATACTCCACTTGAAGAAAATAAGATTTTGATCTCAAAAATAACCTCAATCCAGAAAATTACACATACCCACTTCAAAAAAAATCAAGATTTTGATGTAAAAAAATAACCCTAATCCCCAAAATCAACGAATAATCAAACGAGCAGGGCAAAAAAAACCAAAAAAGAAAGAGAAAATTCGAACTAGGTATAAGCAAAGAAGCACTCACCAGATAGAGAAATTAGAAAAAATATCGAGGACCTCCGGACATTAGCTCCAAAATCCACCCCACGAATAGAGTAAAGAATGAAACCCTAACGACCCTTTTAAAATAAAATTTACTACTAACAACTAATCAATGTAGAGGAAAAAATAAATAGAATAGAATAGGGAAAGTAAAAAAGTTCGTGCGATTTAAGAATCTTTTTTCTCATTTCTTTGCTGTTAATTAGTAGGAGTATTATCTATTCCCCGAGGGATTGGTATCAATTGCTAAATCAACAGTCAAGAAAAAAAGAAAAGTGAATAAATAGTTTGTTCTTAATTTTAATCTTACGCTTTCTAAAAAAATTAACTTGGTTTTGTCTTAGTTTTTGAGTAACTACATTACTCAAGTCAAATAACTAAAAAGCGTAAACGGTTTCTGAAAAATACCACAAAAAACTAAGAACAAAATTAGAATAAGAAACCCAGAAACCGAAATGTTCTTAGGAAGTCAAAAAGAGCATAAAAGGCTGAGCTAACTTAATTAAGTCCAGAAATTATTTTAGTTCAATTGGCATCACAAATCAATGCAACAACACGGAGTAACAAGACATCTTAGGAATTAGGGGAACTTTTTATCTACTATTATTATATGTATTTCTTGCTACATGTTATAGGGATTGTAAATAATTCGACCAGTTTGATTTTGTTGTGCTGCTTGATTATTTTTCTTTTAGTTTACATAGAAGGAAATGAGATGGATAACTAATAGGGTAGTTTCGTACAATGTACTAGGGAAAATAATATAGTATGTATAAGTTATATATCCTATTCAGTAGTATTATTCTTATATATAGCAAAATATGACATTATATATAAAGACAGAACTGTCATTTCAAAACCTTTAATACACTAAACAAAACGGTCGATAAGAAATAATTCCAACATAATTAATTCATCATAATTAATCCTCAACTTATTAATCTCAGCATTATTAACACACCATATTCAGTTCTATTCCTATGCACCATACCAAACGGCCCTTTAGTCTTAAGCTTTAGTCCATTTATTTGATCATTCATACAAATAATAAGGGGTCATTTGGTATGATGGAAAAGCAAAAATAATCCTGGAATAAAAATTTAATACCGCATTATCCCTTGTTTGGTTACTAATTATGGGATAAATTATTCCAGGATTGATGGGTTTACAGTACCTTAGCTTTATGTTTTGATGATCTAACAAACTTACTTTCAAAGAACCAGATAAGGAACCTGATACACTTGGTACACTGTTGTCAACAGACTCAAGCTAATGTGAGTTGGTATGATTTCAGAAGATAAAGAATCAACACAGGGACCTGATCCCCTTGGGTTCCCCTGACAGTAGTACGAAGTCAACTATCTACAGTTGGAAAGTGACTGCCTGCACTGTACACGCAAATAGTGTAGCACAGTATAACAGTCACTTCTCATTGACCAACCAAGTGATTACATCATTCAAGTGATGTCATTATTAACAATAAACATTACAACAAAACATCACTTGAATACTTGAGAATTCATTCAAGCATTCAAGCATCTGACAATCAAGCATTCAATTCTCAAGTGTATCAAGAACAAAGTACAACACTACTACGGACCAGTTCCTACAACAAGTCTTTTGTATGTCCTTAGTTGAGTTGTAACTTTGTAATTGTTCTTCATTGTAATTCCTGCTTTGCTTATCTAGAAGCTTTATTTAGGAACTCCTTGTAAACCATAAATCTTTAGTGCTTGTGTCGTGACTGGAGTTAGTCATGAGTTGAAGTCTTTGTAATATGTGTATTGCAAAGTGGCTTGTAATAGGTGTATTACAAGTTAGGGAAGGATTAAGAGTTTAATTCCTAGATTGCATAGGTTGTAATCTAAAGATTGCTCATAGTGAAGTTAAATCCTACTAGTGTAGGTCGTGATTTTTTATTCCCTTGAGTAAGGATTTTTCCACGTAAAAGTTCCCTATTCCATTTACTTACTGTTGCATTAGCGTTATATGTGGAAACCTATATAGGACCTAGTCTCTATATAGTTTGGTGGATTCATATATCCTATTAATTGGTATCAAAATAGGTTCTTTCTATCAGGTTAACACCTAGAAAGGATCCTTATGGTTGCTCCACCAAACTTCGAAGAGGGTCAATCTACCTATATACCACCCAGGTTCAATGGCCAATACTATAGGTGGTGGAAGACAAGGATGCATGACTTCATTATAGCTGAAGACTCCGAGCTGTGGGATGTTATATGTGATGGTCCTTATGTCCCTACAAAGAAGGTTGGAGATCTTGCTATGACAGTGCCTAAGATGAGGAAAGAATACAACAATGCTGACAGGAAAGCTGTGGAGAAAAAATTTCGCGCTAAGAAAATTTTGGTGTGTGGTATAGGTCCTGATGAATATAACAGGATTTCAGCTTGCCAATCTGCCAAAGAGATATGGGAAGCTCTACAAACTGCACACGAAGGAACCACTCAAGTAAAGCAATCTAAGTTTGACATGCTCACTACTGAATATGAGCTCTTCAGAATGAAGGACGATGAATCTATTCAAGACATGCACACTCGATTCACTTTCATCATAAATGAGCTACACTCGCTTGGCGAAATCATTTCTAAGAACAAGCTCGTGAGGAAAATTGTCAGTGTTTTGCCCAGTTCCTAGGAGAGTAAAGTGAATGACATTACTGAAGCAAAGGATTTGCAATCGCTGACTATAGATGAGCTGGTTAGGAATCTGAAAACCTATGACATGAAGAAGAAGATGATGAAGAAGAAGAAGAAGAAGAAGGACAGTGAAAGAAGAGAACCAAAGAAGGAAAAGAACCTGGTACTCAAGGCGGAAAGCAATGACTCAAGTGGTGAGGATAATGACATGGCTTACTTAACCAGAAGGTTTCAGAAAATGGTTCGAAGAAATGGAGGTATACCAAAGAGGGGCAGTTCTAGCAAGCCAAAGAATTATGACCTCTGTCATAAGTGTGGAAAGCCAGAGCATTTCATCAAAGATTGCCCTCTCCTGAAGCAAGAACAATTCAAATACAACTTTGACAAAGCAGCCAAGAGGAACCCAGTTCTTGATAAACGCTTCAAAAGAAAGAACGTCGCTGACAATGTTGTAAAGCAAGCTCTTGCAGCATGGGTAGATTCTTCTAGCGAGTCTGAAGAAGAAGATGATGCAGGTAACAACTCAATGATGGCAGTTGAAAGTGAAATAAATGAGTATGACTCAATATTTGCTTTGATGGCTCAATCAGACGATGATGAAGACGATGACAATGATGAGGTAAATTTTCGGGATGTTCAGAGAAATCTGAAGTCTTGCTCTCCTAAAAAACTCATGTCATTAGCTAATGTGTTAATTGATGCTTGTTGATACCCAATTTTTTTCTATATTTTTAAATGTGCACACACACTTTCAAAATATTGTACATGCATTTACAAACATGCACAAGTGTTTTTATAATTTTTCTACAATTTTTAAGGGCCCTAAATCCATCTATTTCTGCATTTTTTAATTACATAAATGTTCAAAACTATCCCTCATATTACTTTACAATGATTTAGTCATCTAAATTCATCATTTACGCTCATATGAGTGTTCAAATATTTTAATTGCGTTTTTACAATTATATTTGTATTTTTAAGACTATAGGTGCAAATTTTGCAATAATGGTCCATACATATCTACTTTATCTACACAAAAAATGACTTTTTTATATCTTTAAAATGTTAAGTAATTATTTTAAATCATCTACATGCATAAAAATCATTTTTATCATTTAATTAGCTATTTTTATAAATTATTTTATTAACTAATTGGGTATTTAATAAATAGCCCTTTCATTAAGTTCAAATAAACCCCCAACCCAATTAACTAGCCCATACCTGTTTCTTTAAAACTCACCCGACCCAGACCAAATCCTGGCCGTTGATCTCAGAGATCAACGGTCCAGGATGATACTTCCTTTTTTAATTATCCCTAACCCATAAACCCTAGTCATTTGCTACAACCCACCGCCCCTAAATTCCTCTTCTTCTCCGTTCTCTCTGAAGCCTCTCAAACCCTAGCCCCGCCGTCATCGAAACCCCTTCGATCCATAGGTTTCTTCGTCGATTTCCGGCCTTATTTGGCCTCCTATCTCTACTGGTGTTCCGTTTCTTGTATTGCTTGGGAATAATCTCAAGAGGCTTGAGCCAGATTTGGTTCAAACCCCTCATGTTCTCAATTAATCCATCTGTATTCACCTCATATCTGTGAATATTATCATTTTTTGTGTTTTCATGGCTTCAAATCTCCGGTTTAAAACCAGACCTTTTCTCACCTATGTTTATTTTTGTACAAACCTAGTTATTTTGGCTAAATTAGTTCAGATCTTTTTAGATTTGAAGTGTTTTGAGTTTGTTTAATACTCTCCCTTTAAGTTTCTTCCGTTTTTTACTATTATTATCTACCGATTTCACTTTTCCTTAAAGCTAGGGTTTTGATTCCTAATAAGGATTTTTTGCAAAAAGATTTTGAAGGAATTTTGGCTTTCTTCTTTACTGTAAGACTGATTTCTTTGCTTGAGTGTCATCTCTGTATTTCGATATGCTTAGAGTTCTCAAATACTCGACTATTTATCTTACCGTTCTTCACCGTTTGCTTTAGCTCTGTCAACTGAAGTGGTTAATTGAATTATTTTCCTAATTAGGGTTTGGAATCGTATTCTTTTTAAACTAGTATCTCTCTGAAAGATTTTTGCTCGTTCTTTCCTTATATATATGATTCATAGTTAGTAATACTTTCCTTACTTATGTTACTGGCCTAATTTCTAGGCCTTGATCATTATAACCGAATTGCTTACCTTATTAAACTTTAGTCCTGACTGTTAATTGATTCTGTATGAGATTCTCCTTAATTTAAATGATACTTCCGTGATCCTGTCCTATTAATTGATTTGTGTTTGACTCTAATTGATTGATTAATTGGCGCATATGTGGTTGATTTGTTTACCTTATTTGAATCCCAATCTGAATCGTTAAGGTATTCTCCCCAATTTATGGGGGTCCTTTCCGGATTCTTCTGTTGGAATTGATCGAGTTAAGTCCCCAATTAACTGATTGATTTATTTGATTACCCTGTTTTATGAACTCTGATTTATTCTTTACCTTATTTGTCCTACCTTACTAAGTGATATATAAACTCTCATTCTGACTTCTTTAAACAACAAACAATAGTTCAAACACACACTACACATAAACTTTCTCTCATCTCTCTGCTACTTGTGTTCATTGCTTGTCTAGCAGGCTGAAAGCCAAGGCTAGACTGTTGAATCCCGCCTACTTTACCTTCTGTTTCTGCTTCCTTAACTGGTATGCTCTCACTATTGCCATTCAATTAAACTATGTGTTTTTCTTACAATCAGTATGTCTTTCTTCTGAGCCTGTATGTGTTCCCTATTCAACATGTCTACTGCCATTTAATTCAGCTATGTGCCCTGTTACCAGCATGTCTACTTATCTCATTAGATCCTGTGCTTTATTATTATTGTTCCAATCAACATGTTCACTAGACTCTATGCTTACTACTGTTCAATTTGATCTGTGTGTCTCCTTAATAGTCAACATGCCTTTCTTTTGCTTAAGCAAACCTATGTGTTTACTATAATAAGC